ATCAATCACTTAATGACTTCCACCAGTCTTATAGTATACCTACACATAAGAGATCAAGCTTTAGGAACCCAAACTTGTTGAGGGCCCTTCACCTTCTCAACAAGTGACTTTGCAACCCAAATTTTCTTAGGCCTATTCTTGTTTGGAGGTCCTAAGAACACCACTTTCATCTTTCCACTAGTATCCTTTCTAAGCATGTAGTGAGTATTGAAGGCAAAGGGTCTAGCATGTTTGGGCAAAGGTTGTGGTGGTGGAGTTTGGCACTCATGAGCAAAGTGGTCTTCTTGTCCACACTCAAAACATCTCTTTGGCTTTGGCTTTGATTGTTGTTGTTGAACTTGAGCCTTCTTCTTCTCTACATGTGCCACATATCCAATGCCACTTCTATCCATCTTCACGACGGTGTTCATAAGTAGCTCACTTTGAAGATATTTACCTCTTGTGAACTTGCTCAATCCAACCTTGAGATGCTCTTTTTCCAACTTGAGCTTCGTGTTCTCTTCCTTAAGAGCATCATTGTTCTTCTCTTCCTTGAGCTTCTTGTTTTCTTCTTTGAGCTTCTCTTTCTTAAGGATCAAGTCACCATCATGATCAAGGGTTTCTAGCACAATGGTGTTGTGACTTTTGATTTCTTCAAGATCTTTCTTGAGCTTTGCATTATCATTCTTTAGCTTGACAAACTTATCATAATCATTTGCCTCAACCACTTGCTTGTCCTTGCTACTAGAACCTTGCTCAATGCTCTCAAAGATCAAGTCATCACATGATGTAGCTATATCAATCTTAACAACATGGTTAGTAGCATCATGTGGCTCATTGGATAGAAATTCTTGAGCAATAACAAGATTATCATGATTAATCTTAAGAGTGGTATATTCTTCTTTTAGCTTGTTGTGGCTAGTGATGAGCTCTTTGTGCACCCACTCAAGTTTATCATGTTTATCTTTAAGCTCTTTCTTAGAAGATTTGAGCTCCTTTGAGTTTGGATGACATATCATCATTTGTTTCTCTAAGCTCAACACTAGATTTTTCGGCTATGTCACATTTAGCTAAGAGATAATCATTCTTAATCTCAAGCTTTTTATTTTTAACTCTAGTCTTTATAATGATCTTAGTGTATTTCTTTAGCAACTTAGCAAGATCATCATAAGTAGGTGATTCATATTCATCATCATCGCTATCACTATCACTATCATCCTTATGAGCATGATCATCACCACTACTATCATCATCATGTGATACCTTTCGTTCACCTTTGGCCATAAGGCATAGGTGTGTAGAGGATGACGACGGTGGTGGCGGTGAAGATGATGAGGAATCAATAATAATAGCGGCCACCTTCTCGTCATCACTATCATCATCGGATGATCCACTAGATGAATCAATGTCCGTGAGCCAATCACCGACGATGTAAGCCTTTCCACTCTTCTTCTTCTTCTTGTGAAAGTCCCTCTTCTTGCCATCTCTCTTCTTGTATGGCTTGTTTTTTCTTTTCATCTTCATCTTCATTTGTTGAGTCATCTTTCTTACCCTTGTTCTTGTTCTTGAACTTGTCTTTCTTGGGCTTTGTGCATTGGTGAGCTAGATGACCAAGTTCGCCACAATTGTAGCAATCCATCTCGGAGATTGGCTTTCTTCTTGAGCTTGTGAAGAACTTTTTCTTCTTGCCATCGAACTTGATGCCACTTTTGTTGAGCTTCTTTAGCATCTTGGCGCTTTTCTTCACCATGAGAACAAGGCTTTTATCATCAACTTCATCATCACTTGAGCTTTTATACTCAAGTCTTGCTTTGCCCTTCTCTTGGCTAGCTTTGAATGCTAAGTCTTTTTCTTTCTTCTTTGTAGAGGATGAGCCATCTTGAGGTGTGATGTGCATGTACATCTCATGAGCATTGATCTTTCCCAAAATTTGTATTGGTGTAGCGGTGGAAAGATCACCTTGGTGTAGCACGGTCACAATATGTCCATATTTGTAAATGGGAGGACACTCAAGATCTTTCTTACAACATCGGATGGTTGCATTTGAGTGAGTCCAAGCTCATTAACTTCCTCTACAAGAACATTTAAACGTGAATACATTTTATTAGCACATTCTTTAGGAAGCATTTCAAAAGAGTTGAGCTTTTTATGACAAGATGATAGCATTCCTCACACTCACTCTTTATTCCCTCATGGAGCGCATAAACGTCCGACCATAGTGTATGTGCATCTTTGTGGTTCCTCACCCGATTGAACACATCTTTACAAAGGCCTCTAAATATAGTGTTTCTAGCCTTTGCATTCCATTTTTCGTAATTCAACTCATCGCCTTAAGGGTGTGCGGCATCCTTAGGTCTTGGGAAGCCTTGGGAGGTGACTCTAAGTATTCCAACATCTAGAGCTTCTAAGTACACCTCCATATGAATTTTCCAATAAGGAAAATTGTCCCCTCAAAGATAGGAGGAGGTCCATCCCCATGAGACATCTTTCACTAGGCGGTTAAACCTAAATACATGAACACGAGGCTCTGATACCAATTGAAAGGATCAAGATGCCCAAGAGGGGAGGGGGTGAATTGGGCTAATTTTAAATTTCTTTGCAATAATTAAATCATACGGTTAGTCCAATTAACCCCTTGTGCCTAAAAAGTGTTTCTAGTTGTTCTACCGCACAAAAGACTTACAACCTAAGTTCCAATCCTACTATAGCATGGCAATTCTATGAATTATAAAGACAAGAATTGAATTGCTCAATGTAAATGCTCAAAGTAATTACTCAAAGTAAATACTCAAAGTAAATGCTCAAATTAAATAGAGAAGGAGGAACGCGGCGATGTTTTGTCGAGGTATCGGAGAGTCGCCACTCTCCACTAGTCCTCGTTGGAGCACCCGCGCAAGGGTGTAGCTCCCCCTTGATCAGCGCAAGGATCAAGTGCTCTCTACGGGTTGATTCTTCGACACTCCGTCACGGTAAATCATCCACAACCGCTCACAACTTGAGTTGGGTTATCCACAAGCTCTCTGGATGATCACCAAGCTCTCCAATCACCACTAAACCGTCTAGGTGATGGCAATCACCAAGGGTAACAAGCATGAACTCTCACTTGACCACGACAAGCCTAGGGAGAAAGATGGATGCACACTTTGCTACTCTTGATCTCATTAATGAGGGCTCTCTTTGGGATTTTCAAATCTCAATCACCTCACTATGACTTTACTCTTCTTGGCACTCACAAACGTGTTTCTTAGCTGTTGGAATGAGCAAAAGTGACTACTCACACGAGTGGAGCTCCTATTTATAACATGGGTTGAAAACAAACCTTTATGTGCCTCTGTGGGGTGACCGGACGCTCCGATCATGTTGACCGGACGCTCCGATCAGTTCAACCCACACTCCAGTGATTAAGTGTTGTCCGAACACTGGCAGGGTCCGATCACCACTGACCGGACGCGTCCGGTCGCAAATATCCCTCATTGGAACATTACTGTACTCGACCGGACGCTGAACCCCCAGGGTCGGTCAGTCTTGACGGACGCGTCCGGTCGTAGAATTCTTTCTCTAGAACCTTCCTGGAATCGACCGGACGCTGGTCCTTAGCGTCCGGTCACTCAACCACTCAGCGTCCGATCACGCCAGACGCAATCTCCTTGGTCAAATAAACTGACCGGAGCCAGCGTCCGGTCAGTATTTGACCCTCCATTCACTTCCAACTCTCGATCATATGTGAATGAAGTTTGCTCCAAAGGATCTTATGTATATTTAGGAGCTACCTAGTGTTATTTTTAACAAGTGTGTACCACACCTAACTCACTAGACTTACCTAGATCAAGATATCCGTCCATACCCCCCTTAATAGTACGGCCAAAGAAAAAACAAAGTATTAAACTACTCTAAGTGTCTCTCCAACTCCAATCGACACTTAGAACTAGTCATCCTTAATCTTGTCATCCATTCTTTGAAAACCGAAACGATTTCCATCGTAGGGGCATGACATCCATGATTGCCCAATCGATCTCCATTACCATGACTTAACTTAATTGCCTCTGCAAAACACACGTTAGTCATAGTAATCTTATATTGTCATTAATCACCGAAACCCAACTAGAGGCCTAGATGCTTTCACAATTCTTGAGTTGGCGATGTACAATAGCAAAATACACGAATTTTGGATGTCTGGTAGAAAAATTTGCCGTGTAGTATTTATATACTCCCTCTGTCTCTGAATAAATAGATTTCTAGAGTTATTTTAAGTCAAAATTTTTAAACTTTGACCGAATTTCTACAAAAACCTATCAAGATTTATGATATCAAATTTGTACCATTAGATATGCCATATAATATATTCATAATATGCTCATTTATATATCATAGATGTTACTCTTTTCTATAAAATTAATAAAATTTAAGATAGTTTGACTTGCACGGATTATAGGAATTGATTTATTTGGAGATGGAGAGAGTACCAACGGAGAGAGACACGCGCGCGGTCTGTGTGTGTTGGTGATGACTACTCTCTCTGTCCCAAAATAGAAGTCGTTCTCGCTTCCCGAGAAATCAACGTTTTTTTAACTTTGACCAATTATATGTAAAAGAATATTAATATTTATAATACATAATTAATATCATTAGATAGATAATTGAATATTCTTTCATATTAAACTTATTTAGAGATATAAATGTTACATGTATTTTGTATAAACCTAGTCAAAATTAATAAAGTTTTACATACACGCAAGCCATGACGTTCACTGTCCCTGAGGGAGTATGACCTTTGACAGCTTGACACGTGCTGTCGCTATGTCCAGATCGACGCCGTGCAGTGCCGTGCCGAGACCGGTCTGAGACGTTTCGGACAAACATGACGAACTCGATCGGTTTGGCCCAATAAGTTCGCGCGAACAGGTGACAGGCCCATCCACACATGCAGCTCCAAACATCGGTGCGGTTCTGAGCCTCTGAGCGAGAGAGGCGCCTGGGGAGACCCGAGACCGGGAGAGTGGCCGAGGCCGGCCGAGCCCGAGATGGCCGCCGCGAGGGAGGAGGATGTGGCCGCGCGGCCGCTGCTGCTGCCGCGGTCGGCGCAGGAGGACCAGGCGTGGTGGAGGCGGTGGGCGCGCGAGGCCGGGTGGGTGGGGTACCTGGCCCTGCCCATGGTGGTGGTGAACCTGTCGCAGTACGCCGTCCAGGTGTCGTCCAACATGATGGTGGGGCACCTCCCCGGCGTGCTCCCGCTCTCCTCCGTCGCCATCGCCACCTCCCTCGCCAACGTCTCCGGGTTCAGCCTCCTGGTCCGTACACTCCCCGCCCCCGCCCCCGCCTTTCCCCTGTTTTCGTTCTCGTCCCCATATTTTGGGCTCTTTTATTTACCTTTAATTTCGCGTGCCGTTCCGTGCTGCTCGCGTCGTGATCTTTGAACGCTTTCCTGGTCGGAGTGGAGAAAGCCATCTCGATCGCTGCTTTGCGTTTGCACACTGTGCATTTCTCGGTTCCCGGTGGTCGACCTCCATCTGGGCGCCATGGATTGCCCTGCCGTTTCCGTGTTCTTGGCAAATCATCAGTGAGATTCTTCAGTGCGATCTTGTGATGCTAACGAGCAAAGAACATGGTTTTGATGGGTTCTTAGTTTGTCGATAGCCTGTCTCGTTGCAGGTGCATATGTGGTCACGTGCCTTTGGTTTCTTTATATGTGACTGGAAATTATGATACTGAACTAGTGGATGCCATCTGAATGGTTCAAAGATATTTACTACGGGGTAGTTCAACTAGTCCGTTAGCGACAAGGGAGTTGCAGTAAGACTGGAAAAAAGTATGCAATCCATCTACTCCCTACGACGTTTGATTTGTGCGAGTTAGCAGCCTCCTGATGGTCCCAGGCATTTTTTTCCACCGGAAGTATGCGTTATGACAAAACTATGGGACGTTTGATTTCTGATAGCAGTGTCCTGTAACGTGTTTAGTCAGTATAATGTCAAAGAAGAATTTGACTATGCATACTCTTCAGTTTAGGTCAGTCATTATTTCAGCATAGTTTGCTTTTTTTTTATTATTAGCAAAATCAGCGTAAGTAGCCCTCTGGAGATTAGAGTATGTTTTCTTGGTAGAATTTTTATGATAAAAAATACACAGTGTCGTTCTCCACCGGAAATATCATATTGCACATAAACTGTGGTTCACGGCGAGTGCTGTTGATTATTTTTTCTGAGTGCATCAGTGTCCGGGTAATATTTTAGTAATGATAATGTAATATAAGACGACATTGACTAGGCTTTTCATTTTAAGACTTCAGGTTAGTCATTGTATTGTGTCACATGTTAGATGTAAGATGCAAGAAAAGCTAATTTAGCATGTATCACCTCTTGTTTAGAGCAACTTTATTATAAGCCCTTAAATTAGGTTCATGCTTTTGATTTGAAGGCTCTCTATACTTTTGTGCGTATTATTTTCTAGGCTCAACTCTTTCTCTCTCTTTTCTCACATACTATAGGCCTGTTCGCTTGTCTGAATTCTGGAGGAATCTGGATGGTTTGGAGGAATGCTGGAGGAATTTGTGAGAGAAAAACACTGTTCCGGATGAAAAAATAAGCGGATCAAGCTGGGTTTAAGGGCACGCGAACGGGGCCTATATGATTGAAAACTATAATATTAGTATTTAATACAAATGATCCAAATTTAGATGTGCAAATAAATTTAAAAAAATTAAAATAAAGTGCCATCCCAAGGCAAACATAGTCTCATCGCAATTCAAATTTAATTGCTAATTAGAAGACATCACAGTCAATGCAATTGTGCTCAGGAATGATTATAATTAGTAACTGCAAATCAAAAGACATATTAAGTAATGGATTTGTGTTCGGGAACATTTAAGACTTCAGGTTAGTCATTGTGTTGTGTCACATGTAAGATGTTAGATGCAAGAAAAGCTAATTTAGCATGTATCACCTCTTGTTTAGAGCAACTTTATTATAAGCCCTTAAATTAGGTTCATACTTTTGATTTGAAGGCTCTCTATACTTTTATGCGTATTATTTTCTAGGCTCAACTCTAGAATTAACACTCAAAACAGAGTCCATGCTTTTGTTTCTCTCTCTCTCTTCCCACATACTATATACATTCAATCTATTCGACACTATATGATTGAAAACTATAATATTAGTAGTTACTACAAATGATCCAAATTCAAATGCGCAATTAAATTTAAAAAATTAAAATGAAGTGCCATCCCAAGGCAAACATAGTCTCATCGCAATTGAAATTTGATTGCTAATTAGAAGACATCACAGAGGCAATGAAATTGTGCTCAGGAATAATTATAATTAGCAATTGCAAATCAAAAGATATTAAGTAATGGATTTGTGCTCGGGAACATTTAATTAGAACTCAGGTTGCAAATCAAAAGACATCATCGATATACATCACAAATAAATCATCATTGCACAATCCAATTGTCTCAGTCTAAAATAGTTGATCATCACTGTACAACCCAATTGCCTCAATCTAAAATTAGATTATCACCCCACATATATCTAGCCTCATGTCATATTTAATCAAAATTAGAATTAAACATCATTCCACGTGCCAACATCCTCCGAATTAAACAACTTATGATGAAACATATCCAATTTTATCAACTTAAACGCAAATAATACTTTTGCTTCTACAAATATTATCTACTTAAACGTAAATTTAAATGCACTAATGCTCCTACATAACTTGTGGGATCCACTCCGCAAACACAGGGCTACGCTCAAAACTTATTGACACACAACTTTTCACTGGCTCTCTTTTTCCGCCGTGACAAAAACAGCCATGATTTCCCTGCTAGTATTGAGCATCTTCACCTGCTATTGACTATTATTGTTTGGCCTGCTTTGTACTTGCGAGACAGATCGGATTGGCAAGTGCACTGGAGACGCTATGTGGCCAGGCCTACGGTGCAAAACAGTACCATAAACTAGGCCTAGACACTTACAGAGCGGTCGTCACCCTCCTGGTGGTCTGCATCCCTCTCTCGCTCCTCTGGGTGTTCATGGACAAGATCCTGGTCCTCATAGGGCAAGACCCTCTCATCTCGCAAGGCGCCGGGAGGTACATGATCTGGATGATCCCGGGGCTCTTCGCCAACGCGGTGATCCAGCCGCTCACCAAGTTCCTGCAGACGCAGAGCCTGATATACCCGCTGCTGCTGTCGTCCGTGGCGACGGCGGCGATCCACATCCCGCTCTGCTACGTCATGGTGTTCAAGACTGGCCTTGGGTACACAGGCGCTGCCCTGACGATAAGCATATCGTACTGGCTGAACGTGGCCATGCTTGTTGGGTACATCGTGTTCTCGAGCTCTTGCAAGGAGACACGCGCGCGCCCGACGATCGACGTCTTCAGGGGAGTGGACGCGTTCCTGCGCCTAGCCCTGCCTTCTGCACTCATGATGTGGTAATCACCACATCCTACATTTATGCTTCTCTTTCTCTAATCTCTCTCTCTCTATATGGTGAATTTCTCTTTGACCTGTGTCTGATTTTTTTTTTGTCCCAGTCTTGAATGGTGGTCATTTGAGCTCCTTACTCTCATGTCTGGGCTTCTACCCAACCCAGAGCTGCAGACCTCAGTGCTTTCGATCTGGTACAGACTACAGAGTGAATCCAGGGTCACAATATATATACATATATGCAAACATGATTCTGCATCGACAACGATGTTTACCTAATGTTTCCGAAATCCTTTTGTAACAGTCTCACAAGTGTAACGTTACTCTTCACTATACCTTTTGGGCTTGGAGCTGCTGGAAGGTACGATTCCGATGGAACTTAGCTTTCATGGAAGATGCTTACTCTGTCTCTTTTGAATTCAAGCAGTTCATCATTTGATCATTCTTACCAAAAAGCAGCACACGAGTAGCAAATGAACTGGGTGCTGGGAACCCTGACGGAGCTCGATCAGCAGTCCGCGTGGTGCTGTCCATGGCGGGGATCGACGCGGTTGTCGTGAGCGGAACCCTTCTAGCGGCGCGGCGCCTTGTGGGCATCGCGTACAGCAGCGAGGAGGAGGTCATATCTTCGGTCGCTGCCATAGTTCCTCTGGTCTGCATCACTGTCATAACTGACTGTATACAAGGAATTCTCTCAGGTTTGTTGTTGTATCTAACATTTCAAAAAGCAATACTCCAACATAATCGCAGTCCTCTGATTTGTCTACCACCTCTGTCGTCCCTTCTCATCAGGCGTCGCCCGCGGGTGCGGGTGGCAGCACCTGGGCGCGTACGTGAACCTTGGCTCGTTCTACCTGCTGGGGATCCCGATGGCGATCCTCCTCGGCTTTGTGCTGCACATGGGGTCCAGGGGGCTCTGGATGGGCATCGTCTGCGGCTCCCTGTCGCAGACCACGCTCATGTCCGCCATCACATTCTTCACCGACTGGCCCAAGATGGTACGTTCATTTCTCTGATCCATCAGCAAGGATGCACACAATTTATTGCAGCAGCAAAGATGAACAAATATTTTGTCTGGATTCAGGGGCCGAAGTTTAGTTGTGTCACATCGGACGTTCGTATGTTAACTAGGAGGACTAAACATAAATGAATTATAAGACTAATTGCACATGAGTAGACTAATTAGTGAGACGAATCTATTAAGCCTAATTAATCAATAATTAGCAAATATTTAAAGTAGCACCACCTTGTCAAATCATAGACTAATTAGACTTAGGCCCTGTTCGTTTCTCTTATAATTCGTACTTTTCAGCTTGTTTTTTCAGCTGAAACAGTGTTCCGACTTGTTTTTTTGAAGCGAACGAAGCCTTAATAGATTCGTCTCGCAAATTAGCCTCAATCTGTGTAATTATTTTTGTAATTAGCCTACGTTTAATACTTGTAATTAGTATCAAAGATTCAATATGACATGGCTAAAACGTTTTATAATCTACTAGTCATCTTCGAAGGCTTGTGTGCTCTCTCTCTCTCATGATGCGTTGCGCTTGTTGTGTTCGCAGGCTGAGAAGGCCAGAGAGAGGGTGTTCAGTGACAAGCCACATGAGCCGGTGCCATGAATCCATGATGTGCACCCGAGTAGCGGCAGCTCAACATTTCCAGACTGGATTTGCAGGGGAAGGCGTTTGCTTGTCATTCCTGTGGGCCGTCGCGTTCACGAGGAGAGGGGATCAGGCCATCCCCTGCAAAGTTTCTCACCTCACCAAGGCAAATGGGATCAAGCCATTCCTGGATTTGCCTTCCTACGATTGATTTTTGTATCTATCATGTAAAGTGGAGAGTGAAACGGAACGAACAACTCGACAATATGACTAACAAGGCAAAAATCATCTCACCAGACTCTATGTAGCATGTACCGAGACCACCAAATGTACATCGTGGCTCCATCTGTGTTATGTTTGCAGTCCTCAACCTCCCACACCACCTTCTTGACGTGATACCAACAACAAAAGATCTTGTACCAACTCCAAAAGCTAAAAGCTCAGGCCAGTAAGTGGAACATCGGGCCTTGCGGCATATTCGCTAAATTCGAAAAAAAAAACTAATTACACAGTTGAGTGAGAAATCATGAGACGAAACTTTCGAACATAATTAATCCATAATTAGACACTAATTACCAAATAAAAACGAAAGTGCTACAGTACCTAAAACCCAAAAAATTTTGGATCTAAACGCGCCTAAGCTAGGTAGGAAAAACTCAAAACCAATCCTAGGAATAGTAAAGCTTTATATAGTCTAAATCTTCACATATATGTCTATCTCACCGAGCCTCTCTTCGAGACAGTGCCCAGATCCTCATGCCTTTCGTGTTGTAACTTATCGACAAAAAAATTCACTACATGAGGATAGTTATAGTTACGGCCGCCATTCAATAGAGCTTCAGTTGTCGGCTTCCTTGTCATCGTTTACCAACTTTCTTGAAAAGAATCTCTAGTGTGATTTTTTGAAATCTGTAATAAATTTAACCAAAACTGACTCATCCTGATGGTTTAAAAAAATTGCTCAAATTTGTATATTTAAATATCCATTTTTGTTAAATATACGTACTAGCCATTAGCCCGTGCTCCACAACGGTCTAGAATCTTACATTACAAAAGAAATTAAAGTTTCATGGATAATATAAACAATAGTGCCTCTGAACCGTAGATCGGGGTAAGCATCTTACTTAGGGTTCCTCTAGTTCACCCTGGCACAGTTGCGCCACAGCCTCGTGGACGCCGGTGTTGAGGGTGCTTGGCACGGTGGAGTCCAGCGTGGTGGAGATGCTACAGAGGCGACGGCGGAGTCAGTGGGGCTTCCCGTCGCTGGCAGCACTTACTTTAGATCGGATTAGGTTTATCTGTAGGTGGTTACGGAGGCTCAGGTCAACCTCGTCGTTAGAGCCATGATCCTCACCTATCTTTTATAGTGCTGTGCGACAGGGGCTCACCAACCATATTAGGGTTGGGCGCCCCCGATCAGGGCGTAGACCTAAGGGCCCAATAGGTCGTTGGTGGAGATCAACTAACATTCTCCCTCTTGATCTTACTATCATCTTTCAATTTCATATCATTTACTTTTGTTCATTCCATTACAGATTAGCACATAGAGCATGTTTCATCGTCACGGTCAATTGTCGATAGATTTAACAGCTACAACACACCACTCTGTTCTGAAATATATACTTAACTTTGGGCCTTCTTTTGTCCAGGAATTTTAGGCTTTCTCTTAAACCCATGCTAGCTACATGTTCACTGAACACGTTGGGTGGTAAGCTTTTTGTAAGTGGATCCGCGAGTATCTTTTTGATACTTATATGCTCAAGACTTATGATATGATCCCAGACTTTATCTTTCACAACATAATACTTTATGTCAACGTGTTTGGCAGCACCACTTGACTTATTGTTGTGAGCGTACTGCTGGATTATTATCGCAGTATAACTTAAATGGTCTATAGATGTCGTCAACCACCTTTAAACCGGGTATAAACTTCTTTAGCCAGTTCACCTGTCCCGTTGCCTCATAACACGCTACAAACTCGACATACATTGTGGACGATGTAGTGACGGTTTGCTTTGAGCTTTTCCATGAAATAGCTCCCCTACGAGAGTGAATACATATCCAGACGTGGATTTTCTATCATCTCTCGCATAATCAGAATCTGAATATCCCACTATATGGAGTGAATCAGATCTTCTATACGTCATCATGAGGCTTTTAGTTTTTGCAAATAACACAAGACTTTCTTTACTAATTTCCAGTGTTCTGTTCTAGGATTGCTCTAGAATCTGTCAAGTAACCCGATAACAAATGCCAAGTCAGGGCGCGTACATACTTGAGCATATTGCAAGCTTCCGGCAGCTGAAGCATATGGAACCGCTTTCATTTGATCGATCTCATATTTGTTCGTAGGGCATTGAAAATCCCTATATCTGTCGCCCTTGACTATAGGAGCAGGTGAGGGACTACATTTGTGCATACTGATTTTTTTTAAGATCTTTTCTATGTATGCCTTTTGTGACAATCCTAATACCCCTTTACTTTTATCTCAGTGAATCTCGATCCCTATAACGAACGAAGCTTCACCAAGATCTTTCATATCAAATTTTGAGGACAAAAACTTATTTGTCTTCAGCAGTAGACTGACATCACTACTAGCAAGTAAGATATCATCCACATACAGGACAAGGAAGATAAACTTCCCATTCTTAAACTTTGCATAGACACAATTGTCCTCTACATTCTCTTTAAACCCAAAATTCCTTATTGTCTGATAAAACTTGAAGCACCACTGTCTTGAAGCTTGTTTTAATGCATAAATGGATTTCTTTAGGCGGCATCCCATTCGTTCTTTTCCTTCCATGACAAAACCTTTCAGTTGTGCCATATAAATATTTTCCTCCAAGTCCCCGTTGAGAAATGCCGTCTTCATATCCATCTGATGTAATTCTAAATCGTAATGTGCCACTAATGCCATTATGATTCTGAAGGAATCCTTACATGAGACTAGAGAAAAGATCTCATTGTAATCAATCCCTTCTCTTTGCGTAAAGCCTTTTGCCATAAGTCGCGCTTTATATCTCTATATTCCCTTGAGAGTCAAGTTTTGTTTTGTAGACCCATTTACAACCTACTGTTTTGGTTCATTTAGGAATTATTTCCAAGTCCTAAACTTTATTGGCATTTATAGATTTCATTTCATCTTCTATGGCCTCAAACCACTTTGATGAATGATCACTTCTCATGACTTCTTCAAATGAGGTGGGATCATCCTTCATTTGAAATTCTTCAGTGTTGTATACTTCATAGTCAGCAGGAATAGCTGATTTTCTAACTCTTTGAGACCTTCTAGGGGCCTCCACATTTAGCACATCTTCTGTTTGAGGCTGTTGTTGCTCCCCCTCATGTGTGGCAATAGGTTCTACAGGATCCTGAAGAATAGGTTCCTCATCGTCATTCATTGTTGCCACAGGCGGAATAACAACAGGTGCTGGCACCACAATATCTTACACTATCGGTGCAGCGACAGCAGGTAGTGAGAAAAATGGCTCATGAATCATCGGAGTGGGCGCATACACCCACTTCTCTTCAAGATCAATTTCTCGAGCTACCAGGCTCCCCCCTATCATTTCATCCTCTAGAAAGACAACATGTCTCGTTTCCACAAACTTTGTATGTCTATCTGGACAGTAGAAACGAAAACCTTTTGACTTTTCTAGGTAGCCAATGAAATGGCAACTTACTGTTTTGGAATCTAGTTTCCCAATGTTTGGGTTAAATACTTTAGTCTCAGCAGGACTCCCCCACACACGTAAGTGGTTTAGTGAGGGTACTTTTCTTGTCCACAACTTATACGGTGTTTTGGGCACCAACTTACTTGGTACTCTATTGAGAATATGAATGGTGGTTTTTAACGCCTCTATCCACATGCTCAATGGTAAGGTGGAGTAACTTATCATACTGCGCACCATGTCCATCAGGGTACGATTGCGTCTTTCAACTACTCCATTCTGAGCTACTCCATTCTACTGAGGTTCGCCCGGTATAGAATACTGGGCTACTATGCCATTCTCCTGTAAGAACCTTGTAAAAGGTCCAGGAACTTGGCCATATGGGGTATGCCGACTTTAGTACCCCCACGGTTGGACCTGACTATCTTAATCTTTAAATTACGTTGGTTTTCAACTTCTGCCTTAAATATCTTAAATTTATTCAATGCTTCTGTTCTTTCTTTGATTGGATAAATATAGCCATAATGAGAGTAATCATCAGTGAATGTTATGAACGAATCATAACCATCCACACCCTTTATAGGAAACTGATCATAGATGTCTATGTGAATAATCTATAAAATTCTTGCGCTTCATTTGGCATCTTTCTTAATTTTCTTTACATACTTTCCTTTTATGCATTCTCTGCATTGTTCTAAATCTGAGAGCTCTAATAGAGAAAGAATATTATTCTTAACTAGTCTTTCTATTCCCCCCTCAAAATATGGCCTAAATGACAGTGCTATAATTTCGACGACGCATCATGAGCTCTCTTATGCCACAATTTCCAGATTAACTCTCTGTCACCAGCTGCTTTATCAGCTGGGTAGCATATGTCTTTGAAGAGCCAGTAAATTGACTCTTTATTCTATCGAGGTACTCGGTGACCATGTCACACTCTAGGATTTAGCCCACAATTACAGGCTCAATCGTGTTCTTTATCATAGCCAAACATTTCTTGTTAGCAGTGACCCACTTCCTATGCTCAAGGTCATAGAACATCTTTTGGGATTCAAAATCCCTCTCTTTAGTTGCCCAAGCGGCATTAGCCTCATTTGTCTCCTTCACCAGTGCCACAAGCTCAGTGGGACACGATGGGGTGACTACCCAGTCCACCTTAGCCAAGATGAAGGCCAGGCCAGTCTTTTTCTTAACATAAAAATAACAACAATTGCATGCCTTGATTTCAACGTTGGTCAAAATTAAAACATACAACTGTTCTTACACACTAATTCTACATCATCGTTGGGCAGAAATAGAATTAATGCATAAATCATTAAAATTTACAACGGTTCTTGTACACTAATTCTACATCACCGTTGGATAGAAATAGAATTAATGCATAAAATCATTAAAATTACGATATTGTTATTAACAATGTTGGTCAGAAAATAAAAACATCATAATCATGTCAAAATCTTTTTTCTTCAATTAAATATCACGTTGGTTCAAAATAACTGGAGAATCAACTATTTCTTTAGCAGCGGAAACATGAAAAAATTCATTATCTATTTTTCAGAAGCATTAAACTTTTCTCAAATATTCTCTGAAAAATTATCCCGTTGGTTCAAATTTTAACAGAGATATTCAAAGTAGACAAATATCATCAAAATCTGTTTCTGAAAATTTAATAAACTCAGAACTTTATTTATTGTACATTGTGGCGGCCCTACTGTAGCTTCTACAAAGACCGCCCAACAAGAATAAAGGCGTCCGGCCTACCTATATAGCAGCCCATGCACGCATTGCCGCACCCCAAGCCACAACTGGGCCTAGGCGGCAAAATGCCTCCTCTTCGCGCCCGCCTAGGCTCGACTCGCGCCCGGTTGATCTCTGCCGTTGATGCGATCGAGCAATACCATGCTGCGTGTCTCGGCGGATCAAAATGGTGACCTCAGCGCCTCCGCTGAAACCCTAGCATCATTCGCCCCTCCCTCTTCTCTCTCTATGCCCGCGCTCCTTCTCTCTCAATGCAGCAGCAGCGAGCAGCGACCGGAGTCGAGAGAGAGAGAGATGGCGTCGTCGTTCACGGCGGCGAGACCTCGCTCCACCACGCGACCGGCCCCCTTTAACCCTAGTCCATTTCTTCTCTGCCTTTCTCTCACAGTTGCGCTGTGCACCGAAAGAAGCGAAAAGCGGCAAGCCATGGCGGTCGCTGGCCCCTCGCCCGGCATGCGTGCTCCCGTGAGTGGCGATGTTGTCGGCGGAGCGGCTGGCCGTGGCGCCCCTTGGCCGAGAGCCCGTAAAGAAACAGCTCCCCCGGCTCGGCCTTCTTCTCCCACAGCCGGCGAAGGGTTAGCCCGGCGCACAGCGAGGTAGGTCCCTTTCCTCTTCTTCCCCATCCCCTTCTTCTTTGGATTTGGATTCTTGTTTGTTCTTCTCGTATTCAACCGATTTGGGGATCTAGGGTTAGGGTTTCTTTTCCCAATTCAATTCGTTTGATTCGGTTCATCTCTTTCATTTGATTTCTTTTCTTTTCTATTTGTGCTGAATCGCTCTCTTCCCCTTCCTCATCGCGAGTTAGGGTTAGGGTTCGGTTGAACCCGATTCGGGTTTTCTCTCGGTTTTGATTCGGGATAAGCCCCTTCCCCTCTTCCCCTTCTTCTCATTTGGATCTTCTTTCTTTTCCTTTTGGAGTTGAACCGATTTGGGTTTAGGGTTAGGGTTATGGTTTGACTCACTAGAGTCACTGTTCTTCTTCCCAGTGAGTGCTTTGTGGGTTAGGGTTCGACTTTGATTCTCTTCTAGGCCGAATCCCTCTTCCTTTGTTCTTTCCTTCACCAAGTTAGGGTTAGGGTTAGGGAACCCCTTCTGTCTGCTCAGATTCGAAAGGAGGTCTGTTCTTTTCTTGTCGCGCGTCGAAGACGGCGGTGCGACATCTTTCCCCACTCGGTGGCGATGGTGACCGGGAGTTGAGTGACGTCCGCCACCTCCCGGTCTCTTTTCATTTTCTTTTACCCGGTTAGGGTTAGGGTTTCAATCCAAATCGGATCGAACCCACTATTACTCTTCGATTTCTTTTCAATGCTTTACCCCATTCTAGATCTACACACTGGCAACCTTGGCTCTGATACCATTGTTATAAACAACAGTGCCTCTGAACCGTAGATCAGGGTAAGCATCTTACTTAGGGTTCCTCTAGTTCATGTGGCGCAGTTGCGCCGCAGCCTCGTGGACGCCGGTGTCGAGGGTGCTCGGCGCGGTGGAGTCCAGCGTGGTGAAGACGCTGCAGAGGCAACGGCGGAGTCAGTGGGGCTTCCCGTCGCTGGCAGCACTTACTTTAGATCGGATTAGGTTTCTCTGTAGGTGGTTACGGCGGCTCAGGTCAACCTCGTCGTTAGAGCCGTGATCCCCACCTATCTTTTATAGTGCTGTGCGACAGGGGCCCACCAACCATATTAGGGTTGGACGCCCCCGATCAGGACGCAGATCTAAGGGCCCAATAGGCCATTGGGCCTATTGGTGGAGATCAACTAACATGTGCCACTAATAAAAATTGATTACCTTTACTCTATATTTATTTCATAACATGATACCCATTTAGATACTCTATAATATCTATTTAAATGTGATAAATTTATCGATTACTCTATATGGGTTTTCCTCCTTTACATTGTATCTACGTGAGTTTTTAATATATATTTTAATGAAACCTTAGCTTTGTTATGATCATGTGAATCTATATTTTTTTGCTTTCAACTTTAAATTTTATTAACTATTGTAATTTTTTTATCCAAGTGCCAACTAACACTTATTATACTTTATTAAAATATCATTTTATATTTTACTAAAAAATGGATTCAAAGTCATAGGCTATACTTTTAGTTCCTAAAATAGCGTAACAGTTATTTTAGTCTGCACCATGACACGAAAAAAAGAGTATTTCATACTACCTCCGTTCCAAATTATAAGTCACTTTGACTTTATTGGTTCATCTGTTTTGTTATGTATCTAGACATATTATTATATCTAGATGCATAACAAAACAGATGTATAAAAAAAGTCAAAGCGACTTATAATTTGGAACGAAGTGAGTAGAATATAGGGGCATACCCCTAGCGTCGCCACAGAGCTTATGGTCTGTTTATTTGCACAGAGCAGAGACTCACAAGCCTCTAGTGCTTGGCTTGGCGCGCACAGACCATCCAGGTTGCTAGACATAAACCTTTAAGGCCTCGTTCGCTTCGTTGAAAAAATAAGTCGAAACACTGTTCCGACTGATTTGTTGTCAGAGAAAAACACTGTTACGACTGAAAAAAGCTGAAAAGTACGAATTATAAGAAAAGCGAATATGACCTAAGTGTTATTGCAAAACCAGAAAAACATTCTAAGGAGCCACTCTATGTCAAAAGAGGTGGTTGAGATGGAGTTCTTCGCCGAAAGTAGTAGTTATCACTTTGTGTTAGTGACAGTAAGGGCTTGATTGAATTTTCTTCTCTAAACTTTAGAGCTAAAGTTTTACATAGGTGGTTTAAAGTTAGCTCTAAACTTTAGCCCACCTCACATTAAAGATTTAGATATTAAAAAAGTGAGCTAAAGTGCTCTAAAGTTTAGAGAATGAGATCCAAATAGGCCCTAAACAATGAAGGAAAATTAATTGCATGCTTGGACAGTTAGACTAAAACTTAGGACATCACCATCTTAATGAAATTACAGTGTTTTACTCCTGTGTAGTGCCAACACAAAAGTTTTAACAATAATACCGAAGTGTAATAATGATTTTGCAAAAGAATCCCTTCGTGCAGATTTAGATAGAAGCAACTCCTGTGTAGTGCTACAGAGAAGGCTCATCTGATTGGCTTGTCGTCACGACAGGTATATATCTGATTGAGTTGAGGAGACTCATCCGATCATCCCTCTCCACCACTCTTTTTTTTAGCATAATTTGGCAGGTGTTCTGCCGTTTCATTTCAGTTTAGAAGCAAAGGTTCAAAGGTTACAAAACACTCACACTACACAGAGAGAAAAAACACAAACCTAGATGACAAAACAGAGGAGACAAGGAGGGAAAAGGAAAAGAAGAGAGGCAGCAGCAGATTTCAGTCTACGTTTCTAATTCTTGGGCTGCCATCTGTAGCAGTCTTAGGTCGTTTCGAATCACTTCTAAGAGTTCCTCTATGCTGCGTGCTTTGTCGTTGAAGACTCGTTTGCATCGCTCCTTCCAAATATTCCACCAGTCCCTGATGTTGTTCGTGGTGATTGCAAGCCCTTGATCATTGCTCCAAGCCTCCACTTGTCGCCACAGTCGCTCTCCACCACACATTTTTTTTTTGAACTTGTTGGCAGAAGTGCTGTCCTTCAATTAAGAAGAGAATAGAAGTTCTAATTACCGATTACAAATTACGAACTATTACAGTTTGATGAAAAGAACTCGACACACAGTAATAAAAGCAACTAAACGGTACAGCGCTAAGGGATGCAAGTCTTCTCTAACGAGAGGTGTGGCACATGCCCAACGCCGAAGCAAGATGTCCTACTTGACGAGCTCGAAGACTTGATCTGCTCGCATCTCCACCACACATGTATCAGCAGTTTGGCAGTCACACTCATGTCATGACTGCTCCGCTGGGCGCTGGTGGAGCCACGCGATGGCGTCCACGAAGCACTTCCGGTACCTCTCCATGCCAGCCGGCTGCAGAGAGACTCCGACCTCCATCCCGCCGGCGCTACTCCGGCTCTCCGCCATCGCCAATGCCCCGGTGCTCGCCACGGACACGATATCCACCTTCGCCGGCCGGCCGAATCCGAAGTCCAGGTCGTAGACGCAGAACCTCGGCGAGCCAGCCACGGACAGCAGTGTACCCGTTGCGCCTGCCTCCTTGATGCGGTCCATCCACACGTCCATGGCGGATGTCCCGATGTCGCGTACAGCTTCGTCAATGGAGGAGGCGACCGCGGCGCACGCGCTAAATAGGCCAACTGCGCCGGCCGCCGCCAGCTCGCCCTGTGGTGCCAGCGCGAACGCTGGGCCGACGCAGTTGCCGAGGTACTTGTCCGGCAGGGGAGGCTTCATCCGCAAGCGGTGGTCGACAGAAAAGAGCAAGCAGGCCGTCGGGCCCGCTCCGGCGCCGCTGCTCACTTTGTCTTTGGCTCGCTGGTAGCATGACCAGACGAAGCCAAAGGTGGCAACCAGAGAGGAGCACCGGGGCGGCGCAACGCGGCGCCTCGCAGCCTCGTCGGCCACGGCATCCTTGACGCGTTTCAGGTCGTCCTTGGACAGAACGAACGTGGCGATGAGCTGGTCGGCGGACATCTTGACGAATTCCATCTCATCAGTGCTCGGCGCCCCTTGGAAGAAGACATCGTACAGGCCCCTGGGGTCGGGGAGGAGACTCCGGTCGATGACAGGAGGCGGAGGCGGCGTTTCGGCACCGCTGCACGCGGCCGCCCAGGTGTGCAGGAAGTGCGTGGAGCCCGAGCCGTCGCAGGCGGCGTGGTGCACCGTGACGCCGATGGCGAGGCCGCGGCGCGCGGACAGCAGCGTGGCTTGCAACGCGAACAGCCCGCCGCCCTCCGGCAGCGGCGGCACGAGAGTTGCGATCTTGGCGACCTCCCGGGGCTCATCGGTGGTGAGGCCGTCGATGTCTGCATCGTCGTCGTCGTCGTACTCGGCGACGGTGAAGGTGACGGCGTCACCCGGTTGGTAGTGCAGCTCGTAGCGGTCGGACGTTCCGGGGGTGAGGCGGATGCGGCCGGCGAGCGGGTGGAAGGCGCGGACGGCCTGGTGCAAGGAGTCCCTGAGGTTGGAGATGATGGTGCCGACGTCAGCGTCGGGGGCGAGGCGGTAGAAGAGGAGGCGCTCGACGGGCGGGGAGTGGAGCCAGAAGATGTCGAAGAAGGTGAGCGGGAGCGAGGTCTCCGGCGGTGACGGAGACGGCGGCACGAGGGTGGTGTCGTGTACGCGGAGGCGAGGAGATGAGGAGGCGGCCCCTGCAGGTAGCTGCTGCTGGTCCGGCGCCGCGGCCATGGCCATCGTCACCGCCAATAGCAACGTCGGACGTTGTACTTGCGCAGTTGGGGAATAGTAGCACAGAACTACTGCTACAGTCTGCAGATCAGCGGATGCCGGAATGATTGCAGTCCTACTCTCCAAGTAGAGGGCAGAGTCTGCTTAAAATTTGCCACCATTGTCAGCTTGGACTCGGAGCTCTGTCCTATCCAGCCCTTTCTATCTTCTGGATGGTACGTTACGTCATCCATGACTGCAAAACACACACCGTACCTCAATGGAAAAAAATTGAACGTGGACCGTCCGTACGCGGACACCTCGCGGTGTGTGTACTGTTGCGTGGGCCAAACGCATCATTTTCAACCTTCCCACCTCAATTAAAAAGAAAAAGACAAAAAAGAGAGGGAACGAGAAACCTTTTGGCCCCGTTCGTCGGTACGAAACTTAGATTGAAACTGACTGAAAAATGTTGTTCTAACTGAATTATTATAAAAAAAAACACTGTTCTGATTGAAAAAAAGCCGAACAAATCGAATATGGGGTAAGCCGAACAGGGCTTGTCTTTTCTTTTGTGGGATAAACAACTTATGAATTTTGAAAAAAATTGCAAAAATGACACTCGAAAGATTGACTCCTCGATTATAATGACACTCGGATGGATGATAAGTGGATTCATCTATGCCTATGAATATGAATCCAGTGTCAAATTTGTAAACGACCGATGTTTCGAGTCCCATTTTTACAAGCGCCAAACATATCAAAGCACTCAAGATGTTAAATAGGAGTAACTCTGCTGCCTGCGGATGGCCTCTTAGAGCGTCCGCAGTGTGCGGTTCTATGCCGGTCCTATCTTTTATCGACCTGGGTCGATACATTGCGTCGCTGGTTCGTTGAAGAACCAGGTGCGATGAATAGAACCCGCTCCCATCCACCATTGTCTCTCCTGCCGCAGAATCATCTCGTAAAGAAAGGAGGGGTGGGAGCCACTGGGCACCGGCACCAGGCGCTGTTGGCCTGTTGGTCACCGAGCATCGCAAGTTGGGCTGCCTTTTTTTTTAATGTCGTGGGCTCCATCTATAGATTCGACGTCGGTTCTATATATTGCTATCAAATCATGGGATAGAACAGGATCGATCCTATACACTGCTGATGCTCTTATGCTACTATGCGCACGACGGCACGAATACAACACACCAAACGTGTCCATGCTGAAGCAGGCATCCGAGAGGACGAAGACGATAGACGAACGCCAGGGCTGATAGCGACACGAAACGTTGGAATATTCAGAGTGATGCAGCAAGGGGAAGTGACCAAGTTGGGTGCCTGCTTCCACAGATTTAGGGCCGGTTTAATTCCAAAAAATTTTACGCAGTATCTATTACATCGAATCTTACAGCACATACATGGAGTGCTAAATGTAGACGAAAAAAAAAACTAATTGCACAGTTGAGTGAGAAATCGCGAGACGAAACTTTCGAACCTAATTAGTCCATAATTAAACACTAATTACCAAATACAAACGAAATTACTACAGTAGTTAAAACCTAAAAAAAATTTACATCTAAACGCGCCCTTACTGTTGCAGTCCAGCCTGGGCTCTGAAACTCTTGGACTCTGCGTTGTTTGGATCTAGACTAAAGTCTGTCGCATCACCGACGTTCGGATATCAGTTATATGTACTAAACGCGACCTAATTATAAAACTAATTACATAGATAAAGATTAATTTATGAGATAAATTCATTAAACCTAATTAATTTATCAATAGAACATGTTTATCGTAGCGCTATATTGTCAAATCATAGACTAATCTATACCTTAATAATAAAAAGGTAAAATTTCTACCTATTTTTTCATCCATCCAATTTTTTGGTCCGTCTACCTCTAATTATCGGGCAATGGAGAGTTTATTCCGTCTAGACTTATATATAATCCATGCTCATACAAGTTAGAATAGCTCTTGTCTAGCGTGATATGAAGTCCGATTCCAAAACATAAGATAACTACCGGGTAACAGAGAGTTTATTCCATCTAGACTTATATATATATAACCTATGCTCATATAAATTAGAATAACTCTTGTCTAGCGTGATATGGAATCCGATTTCAAAACATAAGAAAAAGGAAACGTTATGAGTGAATTTTGAATATTTGTTTTATATGGAACGCAAAGACATGAGATAGAGTTCAGGTACAACATGCTTGGAAGATAAAAACAGAAACAAAAAAGGAAAACGAAATAGGCCAGAAAAAGAAAACGGTACGAGTGAATCCTAATCTAAATATTCGGTTGCACCAGATTTGGCCATATTATTTTCGTACGTACGGTGATGAAATAGATCGGTCTGTTTGCTTTTTGATTTTTATGCTAGTTTAAGCTGATTGATATTGTTTTATTGTAAAAAAAAATACTGTTGATCGACCGATTTAGGTGACCAACGACCGAACAGGCCGAGAGACCGAACCGACGTCGCTCTCCTACTCAAAAGTCAAAGCTGGCCAATCACGTAAGCATACACCTATTCAATTACGTGCATAAACAAATCACGTCATTTGCAGGTAACGAGTCTCCTATTTCCTTTTTAAATCACGTAGGCAACACTTTTTCACCCGGCAAGCTCATCCTTGACTCAGTTTGTTCCTTCGCACTTAATATTGTCCGATCAGACATAAAGTCCAAGCCGTTTACGATAATTTGTTTTTAAATTCTACAATTATTGTTTTTATTAATTGTTGTGTCGGTAACGTGACCATCTAGTGAATATTTATAGTTTTATAGTACGTTGTGATCGGATGTGGCCTAGCACTCAATGACACAGAGTTTATACTGGTTTAAACAACGTGCCCACAACGTGCCCTACGTCTGGTTTGAGTCGGTAGGTGACTTTATTCCTGAGCTCAGGTGCTCGAAGTCTACAGTGGGGTTACAAACGAGAAGGAGAAAGATGGGATGTACGAGAGGTTCGGTCGGCTCCGGTCGGAAGGGCCGAGAGCGACAGGAGCTCTGCTATGAGCTAAGTGTTCAAGCGTGTGCTTGGGGTTCGAATCCGGTGGTTCTGTGGTTGTGAGCTAGTGAATTTGATCGATGTTGGTTAACTAAAAAGAACTGAAGAAGCTCTCCTTCGTTGGAGGGAGCGCATCCCCTTTTATAAATAAAAGCGATGGCTTTACAAGTGAGAGGGTGAGGGCACGGATGCTATTGGGCTCTGTTGCCCATGCCGGTGGGTACCAGATAATGATAGACGCCTACAACACTGTTGGTTGTCAATGTAGAATGTCAGATGCACATGGGTGGTTGCGTTGCCTTCTTCAGAAATGGCAGATGTCGGTACCTACAAATATTGTTGATGCCTAGAGGCATGTGAGAAGTTTCACTACGTTCACCTGGTACGGTAAATCCCGGCGCCCACAACACTATCGATGCTCCAAGGCATGTGGGGGGCCTTACCGTATGGGAGTTAACGGCGCCTACAATACTGTCTGTCTCAGGGCGGTTGTAGAGTAATGTTCCTGCATGTGTACAGGGTATGGTCCCTGGTATCGTGATTTGACTTGTGCGCTCTGGCTTGCTTTCTCCGTTCGTCCCCTGGTTCCTTCCGAGCGGGCGTCCCCGGTCAGATGGCCCCAGTCGACCCTGGTCGCGCCAGTCGGAGAAGAGTGGTGAGCAGGGTTTCTGCGGACCCTGGTCGGAGACGCAGGGTCGAAGTCGGAAGTAGCGCTTTGGGCCAGGCCTTCCGATCGGGGAGGCCGTCCAGAGGCGGCTGGAGTCCGAAGCGAGTGCTCCGGTCGGAGAGGTGGGCCGAAGTAGTCGACGAGCGGGCGCTGTTCCTCTTCGGCCAGACCTTTCGATCGGTGACTGGACCGCCCTTTCGCCCTGTTGTTCTAGATCCTTGGGCCGGCCCATGAGCTGTGTGCTGTCTGCTTGGGCCGAGCCTTGGCGTGGAAGCCGGTCCTCGAGGGACCTCGGGTTTATGAACCCGACAGGAGCCCCCGAGCCCCCAGACGATTCGGGCAGAACCGTCTGCGGGGTTTTCTGTTTTGTCGGTGGGTGCGCGCGAGCGCACCCGCGGGTGTAGCCCTCGACCCCCCGGGTGGTTCGGGCAGAACCGTCTGGGGGGTGCTCGGTAGCGGGCGTGTGTGCGCGTTTTTAGTTGGGACGGAGTTTGTTTAACCAAGGCGTCGTTGTGCAGCCAAGGTGTTTAGTTGGTTGAGAGATTTTGAGAAAAAACCCCACTGATCCTGGCATCGGTGCGCGCCGTGGGATCGGGCGAGAAAGTTAGTTTGGACGAGACAGAGCTCACTGATCCTGGCGTCGATGCGCGCCGTGGGATCGGGTGAGGAAGTTAGTTTGAATGAGACAGAGGTCACTGATCCTGGCGTCGATGCGCGCCGTGGGATCGGGTGAGGAAGTTAGTTTGGATGATACAGAGCTCACTGATACTGGCGTCAATGCGCGCTGTGGGATCGGGATAAACAACTTATGAATTTTGAAAAAAAAGAAAAAATGACACTCGAAAGATTGACTCCTTGATTATGATAACACTCGGATGGATGACAAGTGGATTCATCTATGTCTATGAATATGGATCCAGTGTCAAATTTGTAAACGACCGATGTTTCGAGTCCCATTTTTGCAAGCGCCAAATATATCAAAGCACTCAAGATGTTAAATAGGAGTAACTCTGCTGCCTGCGGATGGCCTCTTTATGCTACTATGCGCACGACGGCACGAATACAACACACCAAACGTGTCCATGCTGAAGCAGGCATCCGAGAGGACGAAGACGATAGACGAACGCCAGGGCTGATAGCGACACGAAACGTTGGAATATTCAGAGTGATGCAGCAAGGGGAAGTGACCAAGTTGGGTGCCTGCTTCCACAGATTTAGGGCCGGTTTAGTTCTAAAAATTTTTGCGCAGTATCTATTACATCGAATCTTACGGCACATGAATGGAGTACTAAATGTAGACGAAAAAAAACTAATTGCACAGTTGGGTGAGAAATCGTGAGACGAAACTTTCGA